TCCTCAACAGCCCTGCTTCAGAGAAAGACGCCAGCCACAGATAATTCTCAGAATTAGCACCCAAGATTGAGAAACTGGGGAATTTCCTCAGTAACAAAATATTGCTGGTGGAGTCCTCAGGAACTGGGACAGCCCAAGAAATACTCCCTTGAGGCGATCACATGGACCCCTATCATGTGAGAAATGGTGATCCAAATGAAGTCCCCAGTTCTAATCTTACCTCTGGATCAAGGCACTATTCTCCCAGTCCCCATCCTCCCTTTGCATAATGTTGACCCGCACTACAGGACCGTTGTACCAGTTACTGAGATAATGCATGTTGTGAAGCACCTTTAAAATATCAAGGAGGTATTATTCATTGCCTAAAGAGAAGGATTTTGTGGAAATGCAGCCCACTAAATGTTGTGGGATTGCAATTCCCAGTATTCCTCACTTTTGGCTGTGGCTGCTGGGGGGTTCAGTTTGACAACATTGGCACCGATTCCCAGACCTGTAAATAGGACAACAAAAGAGCTGAAAATAATGAGTCCCTCCAGATATTATGATACACCCTCGAACATTTCACAAATGCCATTTGCTTTTGCTTGAAGGTACGTCTACACTGCAGAATTAATGTGGTTTGACACTGCTTTAACTGCCATGGCTCCATACTACAGAATTCTGGGAGTTATAGTTTTGTGAGATATTTAGCCTTCTCTGTCTGGTGCTGCAACTAACTACAAATCCCAGGTTTCCATAGGATAGAGTCATGACAATTAAAGCGGTATCAAACTGCAATGATTCTGCTGTGTGGCAGCAGCCTCAAGTCCAAAACACACTGCAGAAATAATCCAGTTTGAGACTGCTTTAACTGCTCTGGCTCAGTACTAGGGATTCCTGGGAATTGTAGTTTATTGTGGCACCAGAGGTCTCTGACAGAGAAGGCTAAATGTCTCACAAACCTACGGTTCCCAGAATTCCCTAGCATTGGGCCAGGGCAGTTAAAGCGGTCTCAACCTAGATGATTTCTGCAGTGTGTTTTGGACCTAAGTCTCCTTTTCCCTCTGTTGAATTAACTGAATTCAAACCATTGCACTTAGGACTCAGATTGCTGCAAGTGAAGTAATCTGAGAACAAAGGGGAAAAGGAGGAAGGAGAGAGAGAAACCGGGACATTTTAACAGCAGTTGAAAAAGTGGGAAAGCAGAGGATTATTTATTTCATCCAATAAATAGGATTAATCATGACTGTCCCTATAAAATCAGGACAGCTGGCGGTTATATTGTTGGACTATATCTCCCAACACCCCTAGGCAGCATAGCCAGTAGTGCACAAGAAGCTTCAATCCTATCGTCCTGAAGAGTGCATGATTCCCTGTGCAATATTCCCCTAATAACCAACTGCTAGGCCGCTTGCTAAGCCCATTGTGTGGAACGCAGGAATACTCCAGGGTTATTACAAGGATGCCTGAGATAATAAAACTATGCAAAGCATCTTGAAACACTCCAAGTGTGCTAGACATAAACATTTCTGCATGAAATACAAGCCAAAAACGAATTACCTGGAGAGGGACTAATTTGAATTAAGATTGTGAGCATTCAACCATAGGAATTGCGATGAGCTACAGCTGTTGGAGATAAAGGATAAATGGGTTTGGAAGAGGGAGGGCTGGACCAACCACATTAATTTAGTGTAAGCCCTCCAGCTGTTGCTGGACTGCAGCTCCCATCATCCCCAGCCAGCATAGCCAATAGGCAAAAGGGGATGGGGACTGCAGACCAGAAAGGCCCACAAGCTCTCCAGCCCTGGGCTAGTCTTTAAAATAGGCATTTGAACTAGGCATCTCTCAGTTAGCAATTTAATATCTTGGGCTGCATCTACGCTGCAGAAGTAATGCAGTCTGACGCCACTTAAATGGCCATACAATTCTGGGATTTCTAGTTCTGTGAGAGGTTTAGCCTGCTCTATCAGGGAGCTCTGGTGCGACAACAAACTAAATTCCCAGAATTGCATACCACTGAGCCACGACAATTAAAGTGGTATCAAACTGCATTAATTCTGCAGCACAGATGCAGCCAAGGGCTCCTAAAGTATTTTTTAAAATATACAGTAATTTTTATTCATTACAGAAAAACATCAACATAGAAAAAAAAAGCATTGTGCCACACATGCTACAATCTTAACAGAAGTTTCTTTTCTTGATATGTACTTCCAAAAGTTCTTCACACTAGA